CCTTGATGGCGCCGGAAAGAGAGCTTTGCCCGGACGGGTGGGTTGGTGTGGAGCGTGGCGGGGTCAGTCAACACTGGCACCCGGCCTTTGCAGACGCTGGCTGCGGTGCTCACGGCGCTGTCCCGGAGCAGTCCTGCAGAACTGACCATCTCGGCGCTCAGCCTGGCGTTGCTAGTGCCGGTTAAGGAGCTGAACGTGCGATTCCGGGACAGGCTACCCACTCCGATCCCAGGAGAAGTTGTCATGGTGAGGGCAGCCCTAGGTCCCTGCTGCGTGCGGATCCTACCCATCTACCCGGGAGGATCTGGAGGCTGCCGCCCCCTTATGGAATGAGCAGGAGTTACAAGAGAGAGGTCCCCTTGACACGTGCTCTTTTCCAAGCCAGAAAAGAGCTCTTTCTAGACCACGTGACCCATCAGAACACCCACACACTCCACCTCCATGCACACCTGTACGCGAGGGCGCTGGGGAGGCAGCGCCTTGATGGCCGCCGGAAAGAGACCCACCTCCCGCTCGCGTCCCAGGCCTTTTTTGCAGTCTACTTCCTCCCCACTGCACTTTTTTTCTCCTTCTCCCTACGGGCCTCTCACTGTAATTCACTGTATCTTCCTTTCATTGGCCTAGATCACTCTCTTCCTGTGTAAATGAATGTCAGGGCTTTCCACAGGTAACTCAGATACGCTCAGATACAGTCCAGCCTCTCCGCTTAGAATGGCTGAAGTGACACCGTGTGTCTGTCCTGTCCATCCATCCAAAGGACCTCTCTTAGGGCCTTTGTCTGTCTCTCTAGGCAAATACTGTGCCTCTTCCTTCTCTGTAGGTGAGATAGTCCGTGGCTTCAGCAACTGCTACACTTTGAGACCACACAAACCTCTTCTAGCCTCTTGCCAAACGCCCCACCGCTTTCTAGGCCCTAATGTGTTACTTTTTTCAGGTGCTCCTGGCCTCCGTGCTTTGCTTCACTTCTTCCCTGGACACAAGATACAATGTCCAGGTGGTGGGACTATTGCCTAGAGGGTGAGAGAAGGAAGTCACCAGCTTTTTTGTCTCCCACAGATACCCCCCCCACCCCATCCTATTTCCCCTGTCCTCCAGTTTCCTATAGCACCCAGCCCATCCTTATCATGGATCCCTCCTTCTCTAGATTTCCCCAACCCCTCCTCCCGACCCTGGGTGAGCTGCCCACGATACTGGCCGACTCGCTGCCCATCGCACTGGTTACTTTTGCTGTGTCCGCCTCCCTGGCCTCCATCTATGCAGACAAGTATAGCTACACTATTGACCCCAACCAGGTGTGACTCTGGTGGTGTCAGAATTAGCCCTAATTAACTGTTAGCCTTACTCCCAGGCCTGTCTTCCTCCCCTTCATCCACTGCATCCTTCTAGGAACTCTTGGCCCATGGTGTCTCCAACCTCATTTCCTCTCTCTTCTCTTGCTTTCCCAACTCGGCCACCCTGGCTACAACCAGCTTATTAGTGGATGCTGGTGGGAATACACAGGTAAGAGGGCATCCTTGGGTGAAGAGAAAGGATGGGACATTCAGACAGGGCAGGCAGCTGAGGGTGGGGAAACAGGTGGATTCTCCACTGGCATCTATGTGTTAGAGGATGGGAAGGAGAGAAGGCATTATAAAGAGGAGGGTTAGCCAGCCATGGAGCTGCATGAGGATCTCTGCAGGCTGTAAGCACTGACAAAAGCTATGATGCTTTAGATGTAATTAAAAATAATTAATTAAAAACAGTTGGGAGTTGCATTACATACCCAGGATTCTGGAACTAGGAAGGCTGACTGAAGTGAGAGGGATCAAGGCAGGCTGGGGTACATAGAGACTGCGTCAGAGCAGAACTGCTGTGCTGGGGAGATGGCTTAGTTCAGGACAGGAGTTCAGTTCTCCAGCTCCATGGCCATGGTGACCTGTCTTGAAGATAGAGATAGGGGATAGGGTGCCCTGGGGCCAAGGGACTAGATAGGCTGTCTCAAAAGGATCTCTTAAAAAGAAAAAGAAAGAAATATTACATACCACTCTCTCCCTAGTATTTTTTTATTTTCCCTATTTTGTTGGTTTCCTAAGCAGATGTTAACCTGTTTGTCAAGTCATCAGCATCAAAAGGATCTTTTCAGATGGAGGTGGGCTACAAGATAAGGGAGGTTGAACTGCACACATCTGGGAGAGATTGGCAAGTGATAGGCATTTGAGTGGGAGAGGGGCTAGGTGACTGGCAGAACCATCAAGTAGTGGGTGAGAAGGACTTGTGTCTGTGTGGAAGGAGGTGTGGCAGAAGGGGAACCTCTGAGGCAGGCTAGCCAGGAAGAGCAGCTCCCACCCAGGTGGGGGTGGAGAAGGGGCTCCCTCCCCGTCTGTCTTCCCTTCCCTGCAGCTGGCGGGCCTCTTCTCCTGTATGGTGGTCCTGTCGGTGCTGCTGTGGCTGGGACCCTTCTTCTACTATCTGCCCAAGGTAGAGGGAGAACAGGCACTCACTGTGTGCTTGCCTAAGTGGGACTGCCGGGAGTTCCGGAACCCCTGTCCTGACGGAGGCCTGTCTCCTCTCTCAAGGCTGTCCTGGCCTGCATCAACATCTCCAGCATGCGTCAGATGCTCTTCCAGGTGCAGGAGCTTCCACGGCTGTGGCACATCAGCCGCGTAGACTTTGTGAGAAACGGCATTACCCCAGGGTCCCCACCCCATCTCCTGCTTCCGCTGTGGACCAAAGCTGACCATCCTAAGTTCTCTAAACCATGCAGCCTTCAACAAGACGAAGACCGCATACATTTGTCAGGGAAAAGGAAAGGGGTGGGATGTGAGCTCATCAGGTCTGAGTGTTTGCTTGGGGATATTTTGGGTAGTTCTGAAGATTGAACCCAGAACCTTATGAACATTGGGAAAGTTCTCTACTGCTGAACTACACTCACAGTCCAGACCTCCCAACTGGCACAGGTTCTGATGTCATATTTGGCTTGTTTACTTTAAGTGATCCCACCATGCTTTTCTTCTCCTGAGTCATCCTTACTCATATTTGTCCTTGATCCTGTGTTTCTTCTGGGGAATCACCCATATCCATGTCCCCCAGGCTGTGTGGATGGTCACGTGGGTAGCTGTGGTGACCTTGAATGTGGACCTGGGCCTGGCTGTAGGTGTGATCGTTTCTATGGTGACAGTGCTCTGCCGAACCCAGAGGTGAGCGCAGTTGTGATGAGGGGAGGACAATAGACACTTGGGTGGACCAGCCAGGCTAGGCTGGGATCTGACCCCAGCTTCCTCCCTAGGGTGCAGTGCCTGCCACTTGGACTGGCTGCGGGGACTGAGATCTACAGACCACTCAGAGAGAACCATAAGGTGAGCTGCAGCTGAAGAGGGAAGGCATGACCAGGCAGGGTGTGTCTGACCGTCTTACCCTGCAGCTCCTCCAGGTTCCGGGTCTCTGTATCCTGAGCTACCCAGCACCACTCTACTTTGCAACCCGTGGGCAGTTCCACCGCATCATGGAGCAGCATCTGGGGCTTGCAGAAAGAAGCAAGGTGAGGTCCTTGGTCAAGGAGGAGTGAGGACCCTCTGGGATTGGGAGGCCTGTACCTTCTGGGTGTGGTACCCATGATCTTGTTGCTTTTCTCTATTTGTAGCAGGGTGGTCTATCTGACAAAGGTGAGCTGGGATGACAAAGATGGAGATTTGGTAATAAACTACAGAGGCGCCCAGGTACTCCTGCCTCTTCCCATCTTAGGTGCTGAGCCCATCAGAGTGGTGGTCCTAGACTTCGGTGGCATCCCCTTTGCAGATGCTGCAGGGGCCAGGGAAGTAGTCCAGGTAAGGGAGCAAAAAGCTAAGGAGAAACTCCTCTCATCCCTCTCATCCCCTTTTACATTTATTTATTTATGTACATTGGTGTTTTGACTGCATATATCTCTATGAGGGCGTCAGAGCCCCTGGTTACCGACAGTTGTGAGCCGCTATGTCGGTGCTGGGAATTGAACCCAGGTCCTCTGGAAGAGCAGCCAGTGCTCTTAACTGCTGAGCCATCTCTCTAGCCTCCCTCTCATACCCCTGATTTGGGTTTAACCCCTTTGTCTGATTCCCGCAGCTCGCTAGGCGATGCCAGGAAGCTGGGATCTGTCTTCTTCTGGCTCAGTGTAATGGTGTGTGGTGTGAGGAACAGCAGGGCAGGAGATGGGAGGAGGGATTCACGGGCGGCCAGCGCCTGACACCTCTCCCACACAGCCTTGGTGCTGGAGACCCTGACCCGGGCGGGGCTCCTGGATAGAATGACTCCGGAACAGCTCTTTGTGAGTGTCCAGGATGCAGCTGCACACGCACTGGAGAGACTGGTGAGGGCTGGGAGCACGGAGAGTGGGAGCTGGGAGGTGCTGGGCGAGGGTAAGGGGGGGCTGAGCAGATGAGAACCCTGGAGACGGGACTGAGGAGGAACAAGCAGGTGTAGGGAGAAGCTGCCTTGAAGGCAGGAGGCAAAGGCGGGTTCACCTTTAGTCCCCTACATGGGAGGCAGAGGCAGGAGGATTTCTATGAGTTTGAAGCCAGCCTGGCCTACACAGGAGGTCTAGAACAGCCAGAGATATAGAGCCCCTAACTTAAAAAACAAAACCGATCAACCAACAAACAAAAAGCCAGCCAAGTTTGGGGGTCTGGACCACCCTTTAGCGATGGTGAAGAACTCAGCCAATGTTTCCAAAGGGCTGATATGCTCCCTGAGCACTGGTGAGTCTCAGAGTGTATGGTAACTGGCATTCCTACACTGTCCATTTTCTTCTCCAGAAACCCACTGGCTCAAAGATTTGCACAGTGTGAGTCTGACCAAGCTCCCTTGGAGTGTGAGAGACCCCAGCAGCACATGTGTGAGGAAGACCATGGTCCCTGAATTCCCCTAATGCAACCAATAAAATGAAGCTAAGAGTTTCTGCGGCCCATGGAGTGGGTCTAGGTGTCCGCATGTGGACCTCTCCAGTCCCCCCAAGCCCCGCCATGCCGAAAGGACTGCAGAGACACAAGTAAAAATGGCTTCACCGTGTGTTCACCAGCCCCACAGAACTCCAGTCACAGCGCTTTGTGTGGGGTGTGTTGGAGCCGGTACAGGCGGTTCTGGATCCAGAGCTGGGGGGGGTACACATCCCTGGGGCTGCACATTGGGAGTTTTTCTGCCCCCTCAGGAGGTGAGAGTGTTTCCACTTTAGGGTCTTAGAGTCCTTCTGGGCTCTTTGGCACTTGGAAAGTGAACCCCCCACTCCTGCCCCATAGGAATGGGGTTGGGGGAAGACTTGGCACTGGCTGTGATGAGGAGAGGCTCATCAGGCCTCTGTTCACTCACAGAAAGGAAGGGTGTCACCAGGACAAGCCCCTGTTAGGGATCAGACTGGTGGAAAGAGAGGGCCGGGAAGGCAGGGTGCTCATCAGTGGGGTGCTCAGGGGTTGGAGGGGTTGCTGGGAATTCCTGGCAGGGGAGAGGAGGCAGGCCCAGCCTGACAGTGGGAAGGCCCGAATCAGTCACTCAGCAGTCATGCACTGCAGCCGGTGTTTGAAGAAAAGCAGGCGATGTTTGGCCAGCTGACTCTGGTCCAGTGATCCTGGGTAACGGTAGCGGGCATAGGTTTCAGCCCCGGTGCCCTTTGATGTCCATGGCAGCTTCACCTTCGAGGCATGGTCCACAACAACATCAGAGCAGGAGCCAACACGAAGGGAACCCAGTCCATCCAGGAAGAATTCTGGGATGGGGGTGGGGAGGGCACATTGTTAAGCCTCTCTGAGCGGGGAGAAAACCGGTGACCTAGGGAGAACTGAAAGTCTAGCGCTGGGAGGGCGGCCATGCAAAAACGCTGTTGGTAACGACACTTTAGCTTATTTCGGTCTGTTTTACTCTTGTGTAAAGTGGGGTTCATTTGGTGAATACGGATTCTCTCCTCTAAGTAGGGTCTGAACCCGGGGAAGCAGCTGGCAAGTGAGGTGACTTTTGCAGTGGAGGGGAAGGTCAAGGCCGACCAGCAGCTGTGCTGTCTGAGGCGTGAGTGGGATGTCAGGCAGAAGTGGAGCGTTCGATATTTGAGCTCAGGTGGCGATCTCGGCGCACCGCGGCAGACTGCTCTAGCGTCTGTGCGGAGAGCGACGGGAGTGTGCGGAGGGGCAGCACCCCGCCCCGCCCGGGGCCGCGCTGGGCCTCCCCGGGCCTTGCCGGGAGAGGGCGCCACTCACCCAGATGTGCCACCCGGCTGAGGCGAGGGTCGAAGCCCACCTCGCGCACTTTGTCCGTGCGCGCCAGGAAGAAGTTGACCACGCCGTCGGTGACCACGCAGCTCGGGAAGCCGACGAGCTCGTGGTGGAAGCCGCGCTTCTGCCGGAGGCAGCCCCCAAGGCCTGGGGCGCCCGGCTCCACGCTCAGCAGCTGCCGGTAGGTGGTAGCGAAGCCCGAGATCTCCCGCACGGCGCCTCCTACCTGAGGGGAGCAGGAGGATGTTCAGGTTCGGGCTAGGTCCCCGAGTACGGTGCTTCCCGTGTGCGCCCCGCCCCCCTCACTGTACAGGCGTCGGCACCGCAGGACCCAGACCGCCCCGGACTCGCTTCACCGGAGGCCGAGGCGTGGCCTGGCAAGCCCTGTTCCCGGCCCGCACTCCGCTCCCCTCCTCTACCAGGTCCAAAGGCGTCCTCTCCAGCACGTCCACCAGCTTCTCCAGCCGCGTGCGCGCCGTGAACACAAAGTCGTCGTCTACCCACAGCACGTATTTGGTGGTCACCTGGGACACGGCCAGGTTCCGCCCTGCAAACCAGCCCTAGGAGAGTTGTATGTGGTTGGGGCGTCTGCAGAAACGTAAAACCTCTGACATCTTTCTCCTCTCCCTCGAAACAGCCTGAGCCCCTCTCTAGACCTTTCAGTGCTTTCCGGTGACCAGAAACTAGGTTTTAAAAAACCGGGAGATTCCCACTCCACTTCCTAGAGATCTTGAGTCTTTTGGAGAAGGATCTTAATTATGTGTTTTATTGCTCGGTACAGCCATCCATTCATTCTATTATTGTAGATGCTAAGCACCATCAAGAATGCAGAACGAATAAGACCGAATTCCTGGGCCTTGTAGGCGCACGCTTGTTTCTGAGGCATTGGAGGCGGCAGTCTGAGGGCACGCCCCCTTCCCAGAATCCTCTAGCACCCCGCCCGGGCTCAGCTTTGTCGGCAGCGCACCTTGCCGAAGGGCATGAGATAGTGCTCCACGTGGGGGTCGCTAATGCGCTCGGGCTTGTCGCTGTCGTCAGCGATGACTATGGTGACGGTAGGGTAAAAGCGTCGGATGCTGGCAATGAGTGCCCGTAGCCGATCATAGCGAAGAAAGGTCTTGGTGGCGATGGTAACCAGAGCACTGACGTTGTACTGGGCTGAAAGAAAGAGGCAGGGTCGAGTGCAAGGAAAAAAAAAAAAGTGGGAAAGAGAAATTGGAAAGCAGCCCCTCCCAAGGCCGACCCCCCCCCCCCGATTTAATCCCCAGAGCTTCAGCCTCACCTCCCTGGGGTAGAGATGAAGATGGGTACAGCCGGGGGTTGGGAGGGTGTCTTATGCGGATGGTGAAGGCAACTTCATGCCCCTTGGTAGAGAAGCGGACTGGGGAGAGAGGATGTGGATTGGGCCCGTAAGGCTAGAAGAACGTTCACTTTCCAGCGGGCCAGCATTTAAATTCCTAGTCTGTGTTCTGCCTTTCCAGACCTCGGTGGGCAGGAGCGTGCAGTTCTGACTTCTGCGGAACTACATTTTGTTGTTTTGGGGGCTGGAAACGGAACTTAGAGCCTCCCACATGCTTGGCAGGCATTCTACCGGCCAGCTGTATCCCCAGCCCTCCTCCCTGCCTGTTGACCAGATTACAGGTGTCCCCTAATGAGACATGGCATGGTACAGGCTTCTGTGCAAACGGGGAACTGAACCCATGGCCTTGCACATGCTCCACAAGCACACTGACCAGAAACTAACAGCTTAGGAAGTGGAACAAAGACGATGCCCCCCCCCCCCCAACACCTCCCCCTCTGGCTTCTTGAGGCAGAGTCTAGCTTATCTAGATCTGGCTAGTATGGTATTTGCTGTGTAGCCCACACAGAGGCAATTCTACCTGCTGGGTTCCCTGAGCGCTAGGATTATATGTGAGCATTAGCACATGTTGGAAAAAGCTAACTTAAAAAGTTAATCTTTACTGAACATTTACCACATGGCGCACACACGTGCATATAAGACAGAGTTTTGCTGTGGCCTAGGCGACCCTTGAACTTTCTCTCTCCTGCCATGGCTAAGATTATAGGCATGGACTACTGTAGTTTGCTCTGTGCTACACAGCTTTAAAATTTTCTGTAAATTGGGTGTGGTGGCAAACACCTGTAATTCTGGGAGTCGGGAGATAAAAACTTGAAGACCAGGAGTCAAGGTCGGCTCAATGGGAGTTTGAGGCCAGCCTGAGCTACAGGAAATGAGATGGTTTCAAAAACAAAACAAGAAATTGAAAATGTGTTCAAAATAGATAAAGCCATTTAATCTTCACAATAATCCCATTAAATAAATTCCTTTTACAGGAAATGAAGCTTAAGGCACAGCAAAGTCAAGTGCCCTTTTGCACAACAGAATGCTACGGGGATCTAATCATTCTGATTTCAGGATAAGTAAATATGAAAAGTCTAGTGTTACACTACTGATATTAAATAAAAACTGAGGCAAGGAACATTGATTGCCTCAATCAAAGCAGAGACATTTGAGCACAGATGTAAAAATCAAGAAGGAGCCAGCCATGAAAAGATTTTGGAGAAGAGCATTCCAGAAAATGGCAGGTGGAAAGGCCCTAAGGCAAACTTTGGAGAAAAAGCAAGAAGAGAAAGGGAGTTTGGCAAGGTTAGGCTAGAAACAGCCTGAGACTTCTGGCTCTAGGAATAGGTTACTTCCAGGAGCCGAGATGGTGGAGTGATGGACAGAAGTGGAAACACAGCCCGGGCTCTGGTTTCCCCCTGGCCTGTTCTGGTGGCAGATAGACAAAGGCTCCTCTCAGTCCTGGCCCTGCTGGCCCACTTGCAACATCCATTGTGTGTCTAAGCAGTTCTGGCCACTGTCTCCCACACCCTCTATCACCTGCTTCTTCAGTTTTTCTGGGCTCTTTCTGTTCTTTCAGCCCGTCTCTACACACACACACACACACACACACACACACACACACACACACACCCTGGCCTCCCACCTGTGTCTGCCGTGTTGGCCTGATAGCTTCGGCTGCTGTAAGTGACCAGTTGCAGCTGCCGGTTGAGTTTATCCAGACCTGGGCTGGTGAGGGTGAGGTCTGGCTGCCCCTCTCCGGTCAGGGTCACTCCAGACACTTCCCCTGCCACGTCCCAGGTGCCTAGGGAGGCGGTCAGGTTCACCTGGCCGGGGGCAAAAGGGAGCAGGGTTAGGCCCCTGACCCACCCCTTGCCTTTCTTGCATCCCTCCTGGTGGATCTGGCACCCTCCATTCTCCATTCTCCATGCCCACCTGGTCGCTTTGACATTTTCTCTCACCTGATAGACCTCTTGAACAGAAGCTTCTTGCAGGCTTAGCCCTGGGAGGAAGAATGGGGAAACAGAATTACCAGGCAGCCCTGGTTTCTTCTTCATTTTCTCTCCCCTTTGCACCACACACAGTAATAGAACTTCAAGTCCGCTTCTCCTGTGGAGGCCTCGGCAGGACTGTGCACAGCCCACCCCAGAGGGACTGCTTTTCAACTCCTTTCCGACAAAGGCACATTTCTTCCATGGCCTGGCATGCCTATCCAGCTCTCAAAGACGGGATCTCTCTCCACAAACCTCCCAGGGTCTTTGCAGTTCCTTCTGGCCCACCTCCACCTCCCAAGCCCCTGTTGTCAGACGCCTCCACCTTTCATGCCACGACCCCCTCATTTTTCTCCATCCAGCCTGCAGCTCTGCCATCCTCAGTGGCCTGGCCCCTCCCCCTTACCTGGCACCAGGATGCTCCTGAGAGGCTGAACCTCCACACCCTGCACGGGATACTGCAAGGGGGAGTTGGCAGGAGCTATGAGCAGCTGGTCAGCCAGAGACTGAGTCCTGCAGGGGGAAGGACAGAGGAGTCGAGAAGGAAAGGAGACCTTTCTTCCAACGGGGTCACTGGAGGACCACCACGGCCCGCCCTCAGAAGAGCTGGACCCTCTGTTCTCACTGGTACCTGGCAAGGAAGGCCTGGTATTCCTGCTCCCTGGCGACAGAAACGGCCCTCAGCTCCTCAGGGTTGAAGGCTTTAGTGAGGTCAACCGCTCGAACCTGTCTCTGGAATGGCAAGGCCAAGCGCCCTCCCCTGGACTCACAACTGCAATTCTTCTGAGCCAGCAGCCTAGAGCATGGAGAAGGGTCTTCAGGGCCCAGCTCCCTAAACTCCGATTATCTCCCAGAACGTAGCCCCCCGCCCCCACGGGAGATCCCTCAACCCTGCCCGCAGACCAGGCAGCTTTACAGATGTGTGGACAGGGCCCGTCACTGGGCTGTCTGCGTAGCCACTACTCCGGAACCCTTCCACATCACGACAGCAGGTCTCTGGGAGCTCTAACGCCTGCTGTCCTCGCACGGCCCAGCAGCGGTGACAAGACTCAGGAGGATAGATTTGCCATCTCCCCCTCCCCCCAGTTCAAGCCTCGGTAGCTCTCCCCACCCCACCCCCTCCACTGCACCCAACCAGTCAGCGGAAAGCAGCATCCAAGTCCAGCACTGGAGGAAACAAAAGCTCCCCGGCCACCCCCTCCAGCGTGCTCTGCGCTGTCGCCGCCTCGCCGCGGTCTCCACTCACCCCACCACTCGCTCCTTGATCCTGACCGGGATGTGTGCGTAGCGGGGCTCAGGGGCAAGGTCCAGCAGATCGAGCCTCGGGGGGCTTTGTGGAGGCGACCACAAGGCCAGAGGGTTGGGGAGACCTGGCGCGTCTCGGGTGCTGGCGTATAGGAGTCCCAGCGAGGCGCAGGCGAGCAGCAGGACTAGCGCATAGAGGGCCCGGCGGCCCAGCCGCATCCTGAGGTGGGGGAGGGACAGGGGTGACCAGGGGCCGAGGGGAGGTGAGGGCTGGGACCCTGGACCGCGCCGCCTTGGAGGGTCGCGCAGGTTCAGAAGGCCATCCATCTCCGCCGGGCACGGCGCGCGCCCGTCCCCTCGTACCCCCCGCCGGGGTCTCCCGGCCTCCATTCCTCCTCCTCTCTCTCTTACATTTGGGTTTCCGCACATCGCCGGGATCCGGCATGGTGACGTGCCAGACCTTGGGTGCGCGGCCCTGGGGGGCCCCGCCCCCACCCCAGGGGCATCCCCCGGGCCGGGGTGCTGCGGAAGGGCTGGGTGGTACCCCCGGCCTGTCGGGGAGGGCACGGCCTCGCGCCCGCGCCTGCGGGGGCCCGGCCGAGCTGACCCCCGGTGGCCTCGGCGCGCCGCGGGGACGATGCGCGGGGCCCGGAGGACGCCGTCCCTGCCCACACCGCGGCCGCCGGGAGCGCCAGCGCACTGACCTGTCTAACGCTCTAGGGCCGCGGCAAGCTCGCGGTCCGGGCGGCGCCCGGCTCTCCGCCCCGGCCGGGGGGTCCTCATGAGGCCGGGGGCGGCCAGATGCGGGTGCTGGGCGGGAGCCTGACAGTGTGTGGGGGGATCGCCTCCTCCCGCGGGCGGGCTCCCGGGCTCTGTGGACCGCGGGGTGGGGGCGGTTCTGGAGGTTTCCTCCCGGGGAGGACTGAATCGTAGGTCCGCCGCGCCCAGCCCTAGCCCCGAGGCCGGGAGCGCTGGCGCCGAGCGGCCCTCGCAGGCTGCGGAGGGCTCAGGCCCCTGCCCCGCGCTCACACCGCAGCGCCGAGCCCGGGCTGGCTGCGGCGGAGGCTCCGGCTCTGCGCGGGGATGGCCAGCGCCGCGGCGCCTTCTGGCGGGCGCAGAGGAGATTGCTCAGCGAGCTGCCCTCGCGGGAAGGTCCCCTTCTCTGTCCAGCATCGCTTCGCCCCCCAAGCCGCGGTGTCACGGGAGGGGGTTCACTGTGCCCGCCGTCTCCGGCTCACTGTGTAGCCCAAGAAGGGCAGATGGGTGTAGCTGGCAGGAGGCGGCCCAGAGTGAGATCTAACCTCAATTCAAGGAAAACTTGGGTGCGTCGTATAAGATAAAGAAAACCAGCTAACCCAGGAGATAAACACTGCCTAAGAAGTGAAAAGGCTGTAGCCTCCCCCGGCCCTGTCTCCGAATTCGAGCAAGCCGTTCGTTACTCAATGGCCTACTTCCCCTAACCGCTTCTCGGTACAGACTTGAAGAGGAAGCGCAGGAAGTGGTCAGCTGGGAAGCGGTTCTTCCAAATGTAGGCCATGGGAGGCTTGAGTCCTGACACTGACCACAATTGAAGTTCTACGGTTCTCAGAAGGCTCAAGATTTAATTAAAAAAATAAACAGGAAGCACATGATAAAAAAAATGTGTATGGAAGGGAAGATAGGGACTACTGAATGAACTGTGTGTGTGCTGGGGGAACAAAGGGAAATCCCACCCTCCTTAAACCAAGAGTTCCAGATCAAATACTAAAAGTAAAGTTACAAAAACTTTAAAATAAGTCAAGTTTTTTGTTGTTGTTGTTTACAGTTGGACGAGATCCCTAAGCAAAAGTAAAGGGAAATATTAATAAACCTGCCTATATTAAAACCCTTGTAGTCAGGTGTGAGAGCCAAAGTTATAAGTTTTAATTATTGTCCCTAAGAAAGCCATAAAACGAAAGTGCTTCTGACCTTTGAGCCCTTGTGGAAGAAAGGATACTTCCTGAGGAGGCTCTGCCTACATCTGACTCGAGTCACTTCCTTAAACAGGGTCGGTTGACCCAGCTGACCAGATGCCCTCGGTGACAGGTAGGTGGGGAGGGGGGTGTGCTCAGGAATATGTCAGAATGTGTGCTCGCCCCCAGTCTGACAAAGGCCTACGAAGCCTGGCCGGTTTGCCTTTATTGCGTCTGGACAATGCAGCTCATGGGCATTTCTGGGAACCCTGGAATGGACCTGGCCAGAGTCCAACATCCTGGTCAATATTGACGTTTGTTTAAGATTTGGCTCAAAACGTGTGGTGGAGGTCTCATTTTCAACCAGTAGGATTCACATTTCCTGGAGGTCCCAATGAGATTCGGACCACCCACCCCAGTCCTAAAGCCGAACATCACTCTAGAGCTCCAGGTCTGAGGGTCCACCTCAGGAGGCTTGTGCCTACAGACGTTCCCAGGCTCCCAGGCTGCCTTCACTATGCTGAGAAAAGCAGCAAGCATCTGTAGAGGTCTCCTGAAGGAGCACTGAAAATGTTTAATGGAAAAAGCTTGCTAAGCCAGACAGAGACCCCAGCTCCTAGCAGTGACCGAAAGGTCTTCAAAGAAGGTGATGGGGCATGAATGGTTCGGCCTCGCCCGCCACCAGGGCCCCGCCCAAAGCATGGATACTGTTGGGTTGACAGCCATAACCTGCCTGGTCAAAGGTCAATCCCTCCAAGTCCCTCAAAGGAGAATATCTCAGATTGTGGCCATTTTCTGGGAACCCTGGAATAGCCCTGGCCAGTGTCCACCATCCTGGCCAGTATTTCACTAAAGCTTGCTTCAGATTTGGCTAAAAAACTGGGGTAGTGGTCTTATTTTTGCCTGGTGATTAACATTGATTAACACAGAATTGTGCTTCATGCCTGTAATCCTAACAGTGAAGGTGGGAGCTGGAGAATTAGCAGCTTTGAGTTTGGTCTTGTCTACATTAGTGAGATCCTGCCAGAAAACCAACTGGAAAAATGGCTCAGTGGTTAAGAGCCATCTTCTTCCAGAGGGCCCAAAGTTTGATTCCCAGTACCCATGTTGAGTGGTTCACAATTGCCTGTTAACTATAACACCAGAAGATTGGGTACCACACACACACACACACACACACACACACACACACACACACACGCTCATGAAGACACACAAGTGTTGAGAATTAAGCTCAGTGATAGAATGTTTGTTCTTTTGAGATTTGTCATATAGAGTTTCTCTACATGTGAAAATCTCATATAAAACGCATATGTTTTTCATATATGTGTGTACATGTGCATATATATGTCTATGTGTCGGAACAGCTTGTTAGGATGTGATGGCTTGGATGGAGAATGCCTCTCAGTCAGTTGAGGTCTCCAGCTGCCGACACTGGTTGAGGAGAGCAGCTTTGCTGAGTGAGGCACCTCATGAAGGTGGGCTTTGCAAGTTCATAGCCTCACCCCATTTCCAGTTCACGTGTTCTGCTTGATTTTTGTCAGTTGAGGTGTGACTTCTTGCTTTCCTGTTCTTGCTGCCGTGCCTCCCACCGGGACGGAAACATAAGCCCAAACAAGCTTATGTTTCTTCTTTCTTCTTCAAGATGTCTTCAGTCAGTTTATCACAATGACAGAAGGGTAGCACAGGCTAACCCATTTTCAAGAGGTCATTAAATGCCCTCTTTTGGGCTGGCAATGTATTTCAGCTGGTAAAAAAAGCACTTGCTACTCAAGTTTAGTAGACCGTCTGAGTTAGACCTCCATGGGCTCACAAGCAATAATAAAAATATACTCTCTGATCAGTGTGGCTGCAAAGAATTTATGACAATTTCTAACCTTTCATGATCACTAATAGCCAAAATAGTTTCTAAACTTAATTTGTAATTACTTTTAGTGAGTATTATGTACATATATATATGTACTTATATGTAATAATTACATGTATGAAAATATTTTAGCATTCTGGCAGTATTACTGATATAGTAACCTAGCTTTACTGTAACAAAAAATGAGGATTAAAATAATAAAAGAAATCCTGAGTCTGATGTCACAAACCTGTGACATCATCTCCTTGGGAGGCCGAAGCAAAAAGCTCAGAAATTTGAGGGTAGCTTGGGCCGAAGAGCAGTTTAAGACCAGCCTGGGCAGTGAGACCCTGTTTTTAAAATGAAATAAAATAAAAATAAAGAAACAGCTGAGGATGCAGTTCTGAGATAGTGCACTGGCTGGGGCTGGAGTCTGGCTCAGTGGTTAAAAGTGCTCCCTGGAGTGGTGATATGCATCTTTAATTCAGGCAGGAGGAGAAGCACTCAGAAGGATCTCTGTGAGTTCAAGCAGAAAAGTGTGCTAGTTGCTTTTACAGAGAATCTGAGTTTGATTCCCATCACAGTGTGGTATTTCTAACAGCTGCCTGTACCTCCAACTCCAGGGGGTTCGATGCCTTCCTTACAAGTGCACATGGCCCTCCCCCCACCAGAGACAGACAACATGTGTACACACGCCCACACAACACATAGGATAATGTTTTGAATTATAACTCCTAAATAACCGATTGTCATTTTCCTCCTGCCAATCAATCACTACAGTCCTGAGCGGGGACGGCTGCTGACCCTGCAGTGAGGGTGCTCCTTTCTCTGTCTCCAAATGAGAGAGTTCAGGGACCTCAACGGTGGGCTTCATAGAAAACAACGGCCAAAGGTTGAACTTACCTCTCGGTGATGAAGCCCTCAGCCGTGAACTGTAATTGACAATACCAAAGACAATAAAATCTACAATTTAAATTTCACTCTAAAAATTCTCTTAGCTGGGTGTAGTAGTGTTTGTATTCGTAGCTACTCAAGAGGGCTTCTCGGTAGGATCACTTGAGTCTGAGAGCTTAGAGACAGCCTGGGCAAAAATATGTTTAAAAAAAAAATTCTCTTGATGGAGTGAGAGAGATGGCTTGGCAGTTACAATCACTGGCCGCTCTCCCAGAGGACCAGGGTTTGATTTCCAGACCCATCTGGCCATTTAGAAGCAGCCATAACTCCAGTCCTCGGAGGTCCAATGCCCTCATCTGTATTCCTCACGGACCACCACACACAGGCAAATCACTCATACACATAAAATAAAATGAATTATTTTTTTAAAGGAGGGATTTTATATTAGAGAAGATAGAAAATTCTTATCAGAAAAAAATAAGATAGTGTTAAAAATAAAGATAAAGATAAATAAAATAAAATAAAGATAATAACTAAAATGAGGAAAATGTTAACAAATAAATAAAGATAGTTTGTTTAAAAAGTAACAAAAATAGCCATGGTTCATTATTCCTGGAATGACTTTACTTCTAGGTTTCTATGTTATTTAAGAATATTGAAGTTTTCAATAGCAAAGCCAAGTTATAGACACAACCTTTCTTTATAAAAGAACTAAATCAAGCAGTAATATTTACAGTTAAAGATTTAATAACTACAGAGAGGAAGTATTATTTGAATTAAGATAAATGTAAACACAGGCTGGACTCAAGATTATAAAGGCTGACTTTTTAACTCTTAGGCTTCCTTCTATATGTGATAAATTATCATAAACAGGCTTTTTAAAGCAGCCTGGCACAGTGGTGCACTCCTGTAATCCAGCACTCAGGGAGGCAGGGGCAGGCTGATTTCTGTGAGTTCAAGACCAGCCTAGTCTACAAAGCAAGTCCAGGACAGCCAAGGCTACACAGAGAAACCCTGTATTGAAAAACAAACAAACAAACAAAAGAGCACTTACGTTAACTGCATGTGAGTGTGAGCACACCCACCAGGGAGAGTGCCTCAACACCAGGGTGGAAGTTGACAGGTAGTGGGGATTTCTGTATCTTTAAAAACTCACTTATATTATGTAAACATGTTTTTGTTTTCACCCCAGCTGCTGTTTTAGTTTGTTCACAGCTGTTATCTATGATTGTCTATGCTCTGAGGGGGGTGTGATCTTTTCCAGCTGCAGATAATTAAATTCTGAGGACTCTGCAAGGGTATAAATGCCAGATCCCAGAGAGGGACGGGAGAGCTTGAAGGGAGAAGGTGGCTGCTGCTCTCCCTGCTGCTGCTCCTGCTGCTGGTTCGTCCTGCTGCTGCATTTGCTGTTGTTGGTTTTCTGGACTGCTGGATATCCTGACTACAAAGATTGTACTTGTCCCAAGGAACTAAGTCTAAAGAGGTCTCCATCCCCTGTGCCCTCTAACCTTCTTTCTCTCCTACCTAGAGTTGTGGGGTTGGAGGAGGTAGAAGAACCTAAATAAAATAGAATAAAAAGTACCCACTATAGTTGAGAATGTCTGTTTTCCCTTTCTACTTTTGAATTCCCAGGATGAAACTCAGGTAGTCAGGCTTGGCAACAAGTGCCTTTTCCTAATGGGCCATCTCATTAGCCTAAGAGGTTTTATTTTACTTTTTTTTTTTTTTAGTAAATAAGCTATCATGTGAGTGCTGGGAACCAAACCATCTCTCCAGTCCCTGCCTTTATCTT